ATGATGCAATGGACCTACTTAGCGTGTAGAGTATAATAGAAGAAATAAGGAGATACCATATGCCAACTAATAAGTCTATGCCCAGCTAAGGTAACAGCTGCAGGTTTGGATGCAAGTATGGGTCTGTAGATCCGTTAAATTACCCTTTTAAAGCATTGTTTGTGACATTTATTCAGGGCCCCAAAAAATCAAACGGTGTCCGCTTTGAAACACTGGGAATTTTAATTTACAATCTATCCTGCTTCATAAAACGATTTGGCTAACATGGGGATGTACAGAAAGAGAAATGGCAGTGAAATCAGCACCAATTTGATCACACAGAATATTAAGGTGTCTGCTACACACTGTGTGGCCCTGTTGTGTTGTTCAAATGTATGTGTGTGCATTATGGACATCCTTAATGGAAGCCATCCTACCCAGGAGGTGCAGAATTTTTTTCCCATGATTCTTGCAGTTTGGCCATCTCCGCCAATATTAATCGTGCCACAGATTTCGGTGGAAACACTGTATATATCCATTAAACCTCTGCTTCACAGCTAATTTTATATGGTATGCATCAGTGGCAAGGATTTATTAGGTTGTGAGAATCCCTCTTGCTGCTTCTACTGCTTTGAGAAGATGAAAAATAGAGGAAAAAAGTCTGTGAAATTAAAGGAAAACAAACACTGGCTTGTGACTTCAATAATTTATGATTTTTGTTATATATTATGCAGGTCTTGTTTATAAAGGGAAGCTCCAAGTCCCATTAGTAAACAAGATCATTGTGCAAATTTAAATGGGAAAAACAACATAACATTTTGTACTCCTGACCAGGACTGTGCTTTCGAGAATGTCAGTAAATGTATTCGCAAACTGCAGATACATTACATTAAGTGTTCATGTTCACTTGGTCTTCACAGGGTGTTTGGTTTTGTGGCTCGGAAATCGGGAACCACAGCCGAGAACGTTTGTCACCTTTTCGCAGAACTGGACCCAGAACAACCTGCGTCAGCCATTGTTAACTTTGTCACCAAAGTGATGCTGGGCACACAGAGGAGATAAAATTAACACGAAAGGAGAGCAGTGGAGAAATGGGAAACAAAGAGAACTCGGGCAAAGGAAGTTGAATGATGGTTTTAGAAAATGTGTTTATTAAGAGCCCTGTGGAGCAGTATGTGACTCAAAATTTTATAGGTTAATTATTGAGGGTCTTTTAAATGTGGTGATAAAATAGGCTTCTTCTAAGTGTCTGTTCTTCTTAGTATTGTAAAACGAAATAAATGGCTATTGCTACATGAGACCATTCTACAGACATTCATAAGTACGGTTAACACATTTAGGCCAGCAAGGTGATATCAGACATGGTATATTAAAACCGCTATGTGCCTTTCGTTTACTTGAGATCTAGTAGCACAGGATTTAAGGAGAATTACTTGTTACAATAGGATATAAGGGACTGCTTTTGTATGTAATGGTGGATATGGTTGATATCAACTCTATCCGTTGTCACGTAGCACTTGTTGTCTACAGGGCACCAGCTGTACATTGCCTAAAATGGCAAAATTAAAATGATAAAAGCTATATTTCAGTAACTTCGGGGGAAAAAAATTGAAACAGGCAGGTGTGTATTTATTTGAACACCGTCCAAGAGTTCGAATGCAAATTGCCATTACAGCTATTGGCTGCTATGCTAAAGACGTTTATCCAATCTTAAACTATTGATGTTTGGGAGCTGGGTATATGTGCACTTATAACAAGACATTAAACGCAACATGTAGCATATGATGCCTGATAAGACTCTTCAAATAAACCAAAATTGCCATAAGATCAGTCCTTGAATGAATTCTCCTCTACAGGGTAGTGACTTTCTAATTAGTAAGATGGACCACTTGCCAATAGATTTCTGGATGAATTACCTTTTATTTACAAATAGAAATCTATGTAATATTTCTTCTTAAAGAGGGCGCTTATCTGTCCTAAATAAAGAGAAGTGGAAGCTTTGCTTTCCTTGGTGGCAGAAGAGGCATTCAACATTGCTCATATTGTTCTTACAATTAATTTGCTCATGGCGATCTAGTGTTCTATATTCGGAATAGGAACATCCTGTATCCTGCTACACTGCAGAGACACACAACGTTTTAAAAAGCAATGTAGACATTAAATTGAAAATAATGGACATTTTAAACAGGCTAGAAAGGCACAATTCCCTCGTTAGTGTTGGCGCTGAATAATATGGGGCTTAATTGCTAAACACTGAATTATTGCAAACTGAAAATAAAATATCCAAGCGATGACTAGTTGAGATGGAGATTTTCCAATTTAGCTTTCATTTCTTGGTCATTGAATAAACTCCCTTCTGCCTGCCCATTCTCTTTTTCTATAAAATAATTGCCTCGTACAAAGTGCATTGGATGAATGAACTTAAGTTCCATTAGTTGAAGGCTTTCACTGTAGAAGAGAAACTTATTATAGAATTCCTATTGGCTGCTCAAAGTATTCATGCATTGAGGAGGATGGAGAAAGATTCCATTAGCCAAACCGTTCATATTTCCTGGCTAAATATTTCTGGATGTTCTCCTTTCCTTTAAAACCGCTTCCTCTCCTATTAATCTTCATGTACCCTTCACTCAGGTTATGGTTTTGTGTGTTCTAAACTGTATTTATGTCAATACGGACAGTGGTGGTTTTTTTTTTCCCATGTGAAGTTAAAACAAATGGAGATAAATTGCACATGAACTTTGGATTTAAAGATCTGATCTTAGTCATTCTCTCCCTCCACCCCCATTATGATTAGGTTTGTTAGGGATATAAATAGTTCCCCAAGCAGGGTCAAGCCAGTTTGTTCTCCAGTAATAAGTTGTCTTTTTAAAATACATGCAAGAAAGTCTCATGTGTCTAGCTAAAATAATCACATGTGAATAATTCAATCCATGCTCTGTAGATTTTTATTTTTAAAGGTCCTTTGTTGGACACAAAGTAAGGATTTGTTTTGTATCTAGATTTTTTTTTTTTCATTTAGGTATCACTGTGAGCACCATATTCACTACAGCTCATTGCATAGCTCCCAATAGTTCCATTTACAGTGGGACCCTCACAGACTCCTGTCCTTCCTTTCCTGGTTGGTGTTCTGTATCCAGGGACATAAGGAAACTGTCCCCAGCTAGCTTAATGTGAATGCATAATTAAACTTGATCACACTGTGATGAGGGCACTAGGATTATAGAAGCGCTGCAGAATAAAGTGAGGTTATATAAATTACCAAAATAATAAAATAACAATGTAGAGGTCTGCACTGGGTGGCACAAAGATTCACTCACGCCCTGACACCCCACTTTTGGCAGGCCAACCTCCTTCCAAAATGGCATTGCCTCTTTAGAGACCAGTGCTGTCAGTGGCACGCTCCCTTCGAGCTGTTCTTATGGCATACAACCTAGTGCAGGGGCCCTACCCAGCAACACTCTGTGCTTCCTGTAAATCAATTGAAGACAGATTTTACTTGGGATAGCGAAATCCAGCGCTGGGGTTAAACAGTCTGAGCATACACCCTATAGGTAAAGCGCCATGGACCTCGAGGTATCATAGCAATTTTTAACAACATTTTAATGAAGTTGTTATGGTGTCCATACAGCCCCTTTAAGTACTGCACCTACATTTTTACTATGTAGGCTCATACCCATTACAGCATAATATAAATGGTAATGAGTAACATCAGTCTGCTATATTGTCTTATAAAAAAAAGGCATACCGTATACCTTGTGACAGGCAGGAGAAGTAAATGTTCATCAGGTTAAATAGGAACTGTCTGGAGATAATCTGCTGTAACAGTGTCCTCATCAGAAAACACATAGGAAACTTTTTAAAATAGGCTAAAGTTTTGTGTTTTTTAAATTCCAGTTCTGTTATGTTAGTTTAACAAAATTAACTTGAACGGTTTCTTTAAAATATCCTTACCGGAGTATTATTGGCTGTTGTAATGGAGGGATCAACGGTTCACAAAATTCCTTTTGTTTAAAATGCCTGGGACATACCTGACATTGCCAGCTTTGTAGACTTTCACGGTAATACCAAAAGGAAGCAAAATAAAAGCCTCAACCTGCAGTTCAGTTAGCACAATGTATAGAGGAGATCTTACCTGCAAGTTAAACCATGAGGGGGTTCACGTTGACAATGATCAGTACGTTAAGGGTCAGAAACGCACTGTGGTCTTCTAAATCCAAAACTTATCGGCTTGCTCTAATCTCTTGTAGGGCAACAAACTCAAAAGGGGTGTTAAAGCTCATGGTCTGTGGAAGTTGATTTCTGGACATCCCAAAAATGTCATTTCTATTTTAAAAGTTGTTTTTCCATGAACACATCACATATATAGGGAAAAGCAAAATTAGTTTTAGGCTTTGAGTTTTACCATCAAAGATCATACTCCACAGCAAATGTGTTACATAGTTTGTCCATCTAACTGGAACTTAATGAGAACATTTCATTTATGAGGATATATTTATATCATAACCAAAGTGTTTTTTTTTTGTCTTTCAAGATCAAACACATTTTAAATCCATACCACGAATAGGAACACTTAGTAATGAATTCTAGAACTTATGTGATTTGAAGCTAAATTTAAGTTATTTTTTGTTGGAATACTTCCTGTAGAGAAGTTTACATTTACTATACATAGCATATGTAATATATTATATGTAATATATACACACACACGTATACATTGTGTTTATATAAATACCTTTTTTGTCAGAAGCATTTGCGCTTTTATACAAAGATTCATAGTTTTAGTAAACTACACACATTTAATGTAAGGTTGGTAAAAGTTTTATGGAAATATTTATCATGTAAAATATAAACTTGTAATAAAAAATACTTTTATCCAATACTGTGAGCCGTGTGATATTTGAGTAAATGATACAGCAGTGGCTTTACTTATTGCCTAAAACAGAATCTGGGAGGGTGGAGACTTTAATTCCAAAAGAAATAATGACGCAACACAAGAAAACTCACAAAAACACATCGCCATATAAATAGAGATCTGTGTCTTTAATATATGTATAAACATGTATATTGAATATGTACAGACATTAGGGTATGTTCTAGTGCAATTCCGTGGAACCGTTACATAATCAAAATGGCCAGAGAAGTATGGAAGTGAATGGGCAGCGAGAAGACACAGAGAATGGAAAGAAGATTCTACGCTCCTAAAAACTCCCATCTATTGATTCTTCACATATTGCAGTTTGGCCTACTTTGCTTTCTTTCCGTTAAGCTCTAAGTGCTGGCAATATTAACTTAAAATAAATACATTTCTGGTTTCAAGAAAAGACTGACTATACAGGTGACGGACACCAATAAGAACCTCTCTGGCATATCTTCATGTGGATGAAAGTAAAATGATCTTACATTTGGTTGCTTCGCTTAAGTTTAACTTGCCACTTTGTTGGTGAACTAAAACAATGTCTAAAAACATAATGCCTTTGGAGAAACTGGTAAAGATATTCCACTGATTGTAGAAGTGGCTACATTCCCAAATTCCCTTTAAAAGTAGGGCCAGGTAACTACCAGACATCTTTTATGTATAACTTAAAAAAAAAAGCTAGCCCATTGTGATATTGAAAAGGATAAACGACATAGGATTAATAAATGCACATCTGACCGTTTAGTTTAACACATTCTTTAAATTGCACCCTTTATTCTGCAGTGTTCCAGTGAAACTTCAACTAAAATAATATTAGTAAATGAGTGGGAGGGTCCACCTCATTAAGATTAATAGGAGTACAACTCCTCTCCCACATCATTATGTAAGTATGATACTCAAAACTTTTGATTTTGCTGTCAATTAGCTATAATAGATTTGTATGACATCACACATTAAGTGAAACTGATATTGCAAACAATAGTGACACATAACAAAATAATAAACACTATTAAATGTTAAAGTGCAAATATATATGACAATGTTACAAGACATATGCTGCTCCCAACATACGCCCATAAAAAAAAAACAACAAATAGTCATAACTATGTTATACCAAAACTGAAGTGCTAATACTTTGGTCAGTAATAGGGCTAAGTAATCTTCTGTAAAACCAATATGGAATGTATACTAGCCAAAACAAAATACCTCTAACAGCAGACCAAAAAATATATAGTATATATCCCCGCACGATATAATGGAATAGGTTTATTAACACCAAAAAAATGGCAGACACTTGGCAAACACTTGGCCAAAAATAAAACTGACAAAGAGAGAGTAAAATCAACTGAGCTCTGTTAACAGCTTTGTTTTGTCCAAAACTTGAAATTCTCTTGTTAATACCCCACACGTCTTGATTTGAAAAAGAAAAAACAAAAAAAAAAAAAAACATATATAGTCTGATAATCTTAACTTTGGATCTGTCGAGCAGGGGCATATCCCAGGTGACGATAGCTCTTACTGTATTTAATGTTTCCCAATTAGAAATAGATCCTTTCAATATGATTAATTAAAAATTCAAATGGTTCAGGAAAATGAGGATTTAAAACGTGTAATTTTCCAGAGGTCCCGAACATTACCCTAATATTTACTATTTAAAGACTGACTCCGACAGTACAATTCTACTGACAATGTATCTTTGGCTTGTAGTTTTGGTTGTAAAGTGAACATTGTACAAGAAAAATTAGATTTAAAGTCAAGGAATGTTGTGGCAAACAAGATCCATTATAAGTCCTGTTAGCCACACAAGATCTGTTTCATAGCATAGGTTGACAGTGAGAGGAAGCCAGCATGGGTTTAAATTTAATTAGCAGCAGAAATAATGAGGTAGTTATGCCACTTTCCATAGATTTGTGGTAAGACCTAAGTTGTAGTGTAGTTCTCAGGTCTGAAGATAAGGACTGAAATGGTGTCTAGTAACAGATTAAAATATGGAAAGAAAAAAGTAAAAAGTTTAACTCAGTTGGTATGGCCACTCACGGCCTCTATATAAAAAGGTTTGGCAGCATTAACCCTATACTTTCATTTCAGGCCTCCTATGGGAACATGCTTTGTTCCAAAAGATATTATGTGATGTTTCAAGTTAAACAGCCCTGTTTAAGGGGGTATATTCGAGTTGTCCTGATGTGACAAATCTTTTTGATCATTACAGTATATTTAATGATTTATTTTAAAGATTGCCAAGCCTCTCTTGAAATGTGCATGTTGGTAGCTAAACTAAAGTTTGGGCTACCGGAGCCCAGTACACAATGTATTGATAGACTTTCCCCCCAAAACATTAGGAAAGTGAGTCTCACTCGAGTACATCTCAGACATATTGTATGGTACGACTCCAACCAAGCTGCCTTAAAATATCCAAATATCTGTCATTGATGAATTGACCTCCAATTCTAATAGTTACTACTGCTGATAAATTCAAATAGGACACCTAGACAAATTTTAACTTTACACAGCCCACTGCAGCACTAGAACAGGTCAATTCTTCTTCCGCTCAACAAGAGCTACTCAAACTGCCAATCATAGACCTGTATATTTTTATGATTAATGGCAGATATAAAGCAATGTAGTGTATATTTTACACCAGGCTAAACTATTTCACTAAAGTATAGTTTCAGTGTTCTATTATAAGCAGTAACCTCCCAGGCAAGGTGATCTATACCTAAAATGAGATATTTCAAATAGGTAAACTATCCCTTAAGGCCTATTTGTCATTCTGTAAATATATGTGTAACCATATCTGAATTGGTTTTAATTAAACCTAGGAAGAGGATAGGTTGCACTTTTTTGTAAACATTATAAAAATAACAATAATGTCAAAGAATTACTTTGATCTGAATACTAAACTGCAAGTATGTTCCTGAATAGAGTGAAAAAAAGTGTACTCGTTTACACATTTACTATAAGGTCTGTGTACAAATTATTCAAAGTCCCATTAAAAACAGGCAATGACTTTGGTTCACACTAATTCAGTGATGGCTAACCTTGACACCATAAATTGTTTCTGGACTACATTTCCCATGATGCTCAGCTAGCTTTTAGAGTCTAAAAGCTAGCTGAGCATCATGGGAAATGCAGCCCAGAAACAATTTATGGTGTCAAAGGTTAGCCATCACTCCACTAATTGCATTGTGTTACGTTTAACTATGGGTCTAAGTATAAGATACGTACTGTGAGATCAAACTAGATAATTATCTACCTGATGATACCTGTCACAGTAACTATATTAACTGCTATAAGATGGTCTTTATAGCGGATGTCTCGTTTCCTTTTCTACTGTGTCTCCTGCTTTATCAACATTTACAGGCATGAAGCAATACTGACCCCAAACTCACAGGCAGGGGCACAGAAACACGTTTCCAGACACGAAGAAGCACTATCACAAGCCCACGTGCAAATCGTGCATGACGAGGATGTCGGTGTAATGGAGGATGATGGCAAAATGATGCAGTGTATTCTTTTGCATGGATGTTATCTGCTTTTATGTTGGTTTTCATCCACTCAAGGGATGCAGGTCCACCTTTACTTTTTCCCCAGAGCTCAGCATTCCTATGGTTGGGTAGAAGCCCCCTTGAGGTAACACAGAGTCTTTCTTCCCAATGATCTTCCCATTTCGCGTGAAGAAAACCTGAGGAAAAAGCAATGCAGGCATCACACCTTCTGTTCATATTGTAGAAAAATATGCTGAGAAACTTAAAAGTTACAAGGAAACTTTAAATTTTATTCTAAAAGAACTAATAGAAAAATCGAAGAACTGGAGACTTTTTAGAATTTCAGCTAAATTTAGCCTTAAATGCGGTGTTCCTCGTTCAATTTTGCACAATAACTGGAGTGGGATTTTTCTCTACAAAGTCACAAATCAGTATAATTTATGCAACTGAAAAGTATTATTTCACCTTAACTGGGGAAAATGGGGGATAAGGAGTAGATCTGTCTTTAGAGCCAGAATGGGAGAAGTTTCTCTAAAACAGCAGTGAATCTACCAAACCTTGCAACACAACTGCAAGAACCCTGTGTATGGTAGAACCTGCTAACACTACATCCCAAGGCAAGATAAAAATATTACTTGCTTAGGCTACAGAGCAGCGTTAATATCATTAAATGTCTATTTGAAAAGAAAATTTCATGTTGTGTGCTTTCCATTTGCTTTTTGTCTCTATTCCCCTGAAGCAAATCACTGTAGAACACAACTTTGTCCTTAGAATCCTGAAACATTTTCTTTGCAAACAAGTTAATTACTAGCTTACACCCAACATGGTCTGGCTGGCGATACGCATACAATCTTGCTTGTTAGCGGCATTGGAGCACTCAAGACGCATACCTGAGATTCCTCCTTTACCCGATTACATTCCTCAACTCTCTGTTAAACAACATCAGTTGACCACAGCACACAATGCTCTTACAAAGGCCAGTGTTTGCTGCAGCCACAAAGCATTTTGCAAAAATCAAAACCACCTGGGGATTTGAAAGAGCATTTCATGTTCCAGATGTTTTTTCAGTAGCTGATGAAAGTACCCTATGTATTATTATAAGACGGCTATAGGTTATCTATCTAAACCCATCATTAGATAAAATTGGGGTTTTGAGACATGCACATTGACTGCTATCCGAGGTTGCAAAAGATGTGGACATTTTTTTCTCACGATATTCAGCCAGCTGTGGTTAGTCATCAAGATTGTAAATTATACTTAGTCATTCGGTGGGTTATTGTAGATCATTTTGTAAAGTGTAGATCTGTTGAAACTGGAAGAAGGGATCTTGACTCTTTACATGTCAGTACTTGAACTATATGAAAAAAAGTCATCAAATGTTAATCCGTATTGCACACAGTAAGATCAGATTCCATCTAATGAACTGCTTTGGTTACACATTATAATTGTAGTTTTCTCAAAACTCCTTTTTACAAATTATTTTCAGTGAACCTCAAATAGACCCAGAGTAAACCATCTATCATGAAGAACCAGTATCTATTGGTAATAAAAGCACACAAAATAGTAAAATATAACATCATATTGTGTGTTTTAACTAGAAGTGCTCACATAAATTACTTTACATTTATAACAGGCGATGAAAGGGTTACTGTACTTGCGGCAATCACACATCTCTCTCCCCGGATCACCCTGTCGACAACCAATGCATTGTGGGTAGTGTTTATGTGCATACAGCATAAAACTCTTTATGAGAGTTCACAATATGTTGATATAGGGGGTCTCTCAATCGTTTGTGTGGTTTTATATTAACAATTAGTTGTGGTACTTCACTATTGGAGGTTCCCTCTGTAGGTTTGCTTCTATTTGAGTTACACTGGATACAACATACTGTGTTCTCCTGGACGTTTCGTATTGCGAAAAATTCTAAAACCGAAACGTGGTTTCCCATAAAAATGCACTGAAAACCAATTAATCCGTTCTGAAGGTCAGAAAATAGTCAAAATGAGCTAGCATGGAAACCAACCCACAATGCAGAACACACAATAAAAGGCATGCAAACGGCGAAGCTCCCTATCTTTCCACCGCTTGAGAAATGCACCAAAAAGTCCCAAAACAACTGCAAGCAATTTCCAGAATGGCTCCAAAACTTCATGCAAAAGCTGCTCCAACACCTCCACACTCGACGCCACATGCTACCCACAGACTCCAGCATGCAGGGGGCGGTGCTATAAACCTCCCAGGTGCAATGCATCCTGGGGAAACTTGCTTTGTATTGCAAAAAAAGAGAAAAATAAATTGTAAACCGAGCCATTATTTTCAATAGATTTTTGTAAATTATGTTAACCGAGGCATTTGTAAACCGAGGTACCACTGTACTTATAACATTTAATATATTTTGAGTGCTGGCATGTGAAGAGTGTGTATATTTCTAATGAAAGATTGTTGTTTTAGCTGCTTCTATGAATGCTTTTTATTTTACTTTAGGATGAAAACAGCAGAAATAATCTATTTTTTCACTTTCTCTACTTATATATTGAATTAAGGGTTCTTCAAATAACCTCATATCAGATCCCCAACACAAAAAATGTACTGCCAGAGTACCGAAAAACAGATTGGTCAATAACACCAGGGCCATGAAAGAAGTTTATTTTGCGATAACACGGATAACGATTATTAAAGCTTGGGGAGGTATGGGGCACATTAGGTTTCAAAATATGTAGCTTCGCAGTTTTAGATATCGCAGGACAAAACTCGATTCACAGAATTGGTGGTAAAGAACATTCTTTTATCCACATTTGGAGACCCAGAAGTGGAGGTCCTGGGCCATTGCTTGAGTGAGCAAATTTCAGTATATTGCAATTAAATCACCAGAATACACATTCTCACTGCTCGACAGGATGCTAAATGTACAATGCAGTAGCACCAGAAGAGGTGATGTGACAGGACACTCACTTGCAATCTGGTGCTCCAATATGTCTAAGACCAATATAAGTTCCAAGTACTGCCAGTGATTTCCTGGTAGTCTTTACTGCTAGTATCACCCGCAATGTTTTCCTCCTGTTTCACCTTCGTCTGTTCCCAGTTGACCTGCACAGTGCTCGTTCTGAACCTTCAGATTCCTGCTCATCGCCTCAGTTTCCAAAGACTATTACCATCATGGCTTGTTGGACTACACTTGTTTCTTCATATTCTGGTGTTTGGAATGTCCCTTTAAAAAGGCATCTCCTACATACTTCACCATACAAACTATTTTCTCTCTTACATTATCAATCAGAAAAACTAGCAGATTACATTTATAAATTATTGGGAGTTTAAAGAGCCGAGTAAATCCACACATGTACAGAAAACACTTGAATGAACTGAAAACTAAAATTGTAAAATTCATACTAAAAACAGCCATGCTGTAACTTTTCCAAATCAGTTATTTTTGCAATTTGGTTTCCAATTCAACCCAATTCAGAGCTTAATGAAGTTGAACTGTTGACCTTACCACAACTTTCCTGCCTTCATGCTCTCTCTCCAGATCCTCCTCCTCCTCTTCCTCCTCCTCTTCTTCCTCTCCATCCTCTTCCTGGTGTAGCTCTCGCCTAAGGTACATAACATTCTTAACCCCGCGAGGTTGCAACCTTAGTTCCTTCAAGTCACAGCTGTCGTCGCTCTCTCCTAGAGAAGGAAGAATCAGGGAAGAGTCATATCCTAAAGCCATACAATGTGTTTGCTACCATTTTATTTCAGTTTGGTTTCTTTCTAAGTTAATGTTAAGATAGACGAGGAGATAAATTCCCTAAACAACAGCAAATGCAAATGAACTTTATACCTTCACTGTCAAGAATATAATCCCGAGGAAACATGATTCCACAGCCCATAATGTCTCCCTTATAACAGCGTGGTCCGAATGGATCTCCAACCCCGCTGCCGTGGAAAATCTTTCCATCATCTATTAGAAAAGAAATTGTTAGCTATGATATTCTAAGAACAGACCCAGATTTTACAAGCACAAATTCCTAATTTCTCAGTTTTATTGACAATATTTCGGGCCGATTTACTCTAACAGGGTAAATCACAAAGGTGTGAATTGGGAGGAATTCAAAGTCAATTTCACAGTTTAGGCCAAAATTTCTGACTTGAAAACATAGCTGACTTAGAGAATGTTTACATTTTGGCAAGAAATTCACTTTGACTTTCCAACGAATACAGTTGGGTTTCATGGAGAAGCCCCAAAGTAGGAGGAGAATGTTTCAAATTTTATTATATTTACCTAAAATTAGCATGCCTTTGACAGTTTTAAAAGGACCACTAAATGCACCCAGATAACTTAATCTCAATGTAGTGGTCTGGGTGCAGTAGCCCTGTAGGTTTAACCCTGCAATATTTAACCCTGCAATGAAAACATTGCAGTTTCTAGAAAGCATCTCTGGTGGCTGTTTTCCTGACAGCCACTAGAGGTGCTGCCCGTGCAACAACCGAGTGAAACTCGTTAATGTGATGTTTGACACCCATGAGGACAATGAACATTATTAAATGCAGCTCACTGGAAAGAATTGCATTTCATTTTTCCCTATCATTAGCTTATATAAATGGGTGCATCTCTCATAAGAAGCATTGGATTGGACTATCGCAGAGGAAACATCATGAAGTCCACCATAAGACGAAAAGCGTTGGGACTGTGCGGTTACAGATTTCATTTTTTCGATTCAGTTTACACCACTTCTACATTCTTGGTGGATGAATTTATCACCCTACTACAGAGGGGTGCATACCATACCAGTGGCGAGGAGCTTGTTTTTATATCTGTCTCGTAAGTGCAATCATTATTATATTTGTTGGTTTTAAAATATATTGCACTGTTTTCTGGCTCTCTTTTTGTTTTACCGATATTATATAGAAATAAATATAACCAAGAAGCTCTGGACCAGACCTAGGCTCTAAAATTTGGCTGTCTTGTAAGTGCGTCATTTAAACTTGAACTCACTTGGTATTTTGTATGACAATAAGCCATTTGAGGTTCATGGTTGAGTTTTACACTGTTATCCATCATTACACAAGTTTTTTTAGGACCTTGGGATTCATCTACTTCATTTACTATATCTAATTGTAAGTTTTACTAGATCATTAGGCAAAGGGTGAGACCTCACTTGGGAGTATTGTACGCAGAACTGGAGACTGTATCTCCAGAAGGATATTGATATTTTGGAGAGAGTTCAGAGAAGGGCTACTAAACTGGTTCATGGATTGCAGGATAAAACTTACAAGGAACGGTTAAAGGAAGTTAACATGTATAGCTTGGAGGAAAGACGAGACAGGGAGGATATGATGGAAACATTTAAATACATGAAGGGAATCAACACAGTAAAGGAGGAGTCTATATTTAAAAAGAAAAACTACCACTACAAGAGGACAGTCTTAAATTAGAGGGGCAAAGGTTTAAAATTAATATCAGGAAGTATTAGATTACTGAGAGTGTAGTGGATGCATGGAATAGCCTTCTAGCTGAAGTGGTAGAGGTTAACACAGTAAAGGAGTTTAAGCATGCGTGGGATAGGCACAAGGCTATCCTAACTATAAGATAAGGCCAGGGACTAATGAAAGTATTTAGAAAATTGGGCAGACTAGATGGGCCAAATGGTTCTTATCTGCCATCACATTCTATGTTTCTATTCACTTAATCTTATAGTGTTGTTAGTGAGCACTCTTTTAAACTTTATTTGGAGTGTACAGATCATTTTGTTTTTATATTTTATGATATTAATATTTAGCAAACACATTGACTCCTTTCATATATTGTAAAGCGCTACGGAATCAGTTGGCGCTATATAAATGGCAATAATAATAATAATAATAATAATAATAATAATAACAATAACATATAAAACAAATATGTGCTGATCTGATAAGTATACAATATTTTAAAGCCAAGATATTCAAGTATTGTAGTTAGGGCTCAAAAATATCCACTAACACAACAGCAAATGGTGAGTGTGACATGGACCAACCACTGCTTGTGAGGAGTCTCAGTGCAGTTTGAACACTTATAACACTGACTGCACAGCTGATTTCCCTGGTGATCAGTACTGGCACTAAATATCACAACAGGGCACTGGCAGTTTAACCTGTTTTTTTTTTTTTTTTTACAAAAGTGAGAATTCAAAGTGAATTTTAAATTAAAGTCCAGAACTGAAGGTACAGCTGACTTGGAGAATTTTTACAGTTTGACTATTTTGACCTTGATTTTGAAATTCACCTTGAATTCTCGTTTTAGAAAGTAACCCGGTAAGTGTTAAGCTCGACAGAGATTTCAAATCTGCCCATCAGCCTCCATCCGTCATCAAATCAGGCACCTGGCAGGAAGCACTTTGAATAACATACAGTATGCACATTTCTCATACACGTTAACAGATCATCCCTTTCCACACTGGTCACAGCAAACTGAATAATGGCGTGAACCCCAACTTGACCGAATAACTTTTAAATATATGAATTACACCGTTACCACTTTTTCTAGCTAGCAAAATTGCTTGTAAATGTATAGCAGAAAAGTTACTCATTTATTTATTCGGACTTCCTTAGCCTTTGATATTGTGCCACTGCTATAGCAGTAGAGAATAAAATATAAAGCGCACAAGATGTATCCATTAACCCCAGTGTGCGCCCACTCACTAAAAATAGATACTGCACAAGTCATTTTGATGTCAACGTGGCGGTGCATGCTCCTACCCGGTCTGTTCCCTGAGGCCATATTAGTGCAGTGGCAGATGACATGTAGGGCTGGCTGGAAGGACTTGACATTATTCAGCGCTGTATGCAGTTTTATTGTTTCGCTTGGGAATGTGCTAGAGATATACGTACACGATATATGTTTCAACATGAACTTTTTATTTTTACAACTCATGGAGCCCCATTAAAAAGGATCACTAAAGGCACCGTGCCCACTTCATCTCACAGGCACTTCTGCTCAATAAGGGAGTTAGACTAATGCTGCTGATAGAGAGCATTTGATTGCTGCAGTGCAGCATTTTGCGAATATAAGCTCTAGCTTCCCAATGCTTCCCTATCATCAATCCTAATACAGAGGTGGGGTGACCGCATAGAGGAAGTAAAGTTCAATTTTAAAAGGTGACAACTTGGCAGGTAGGGTAACACTAAAGCATTAGGAAGACAAGTTTGTATTCCTAAGGATATAGTGTTCCTTTAATTACCCACGGCTAGCAATGGTTATGTCAATTATTAGCATAAATATACAGTAAGTTTTAAACAAACCAAAACAAAATACTGAAATAGAACTCTGTCCCTGTGTTTCTACAGCAGGCACCACTGAACACACAAATATCCAAGATCTATTATGGAATGCTCAGGATTGCCACCACATAAATTCCCCATACCTGCATGGTATGCGACTGATCCACGACTCCAGCCTGGGTGTCTGTTTTTGGGATAATCCTGAAAGCAAGCAGAAGAAAAAAAATTTAAAAAAAATAAAATAAAAACAACATTACAACAGGTAATGACATTATTACAGTTGCAGGGTCAAACACTGATACATTTTCCCTGAATAATAGAATGATCAATTCCCTTTGATATTATGCTACACAAATTCCAGTTAGTGGCCAACTCCTCATTATTTTTCCTGCTGATGCTTTATTCAAAATAAACCAAGATGATGGCCACCCAGTCAAATGCTAATTTTAGGCAAAGATAGCCAAGCTGTATACATTATGGAAACATAATTCTCAGAAATATTAATGTTTACTTATATTTCCCAAGGTAAGGTTTGTCCAAACTGAAGTTTTTGTTATTGTTATGTTAGGCAGAAAAGGAGATGTTATATATAATTATTCATAGATTGTGCTTTGCCTAAGTTAATAAAAAATGTTTTATATATATTTTTTTTTTAAATAAAGCGGATGTTGCTAATCAATATGGTAAAAATCTGTTTGTTTTTTTTTTTTTAAATCTTTTGAGGACAGAATCTGGGCAGCCCAAACTTGTTCTACTTTGATCATGGCTGAATTAACCTCCCCACTTCCCCAAAGCTGCACCCCATATATACACTGCCACTAGTGACATCAATGTAACTGCATCATAGGTGCGACATGACTAATAAAAGTCACACTCCCAGGAATGCTAGACTGGATTAGCACATAACAGAGCAGTCTTTGTAATGCTGCTTTGGGTGTGCAGCCAATATTAATTGCTTCCATACTGGAATACTAGATTTGTGCTAATGTCATTCTATGCTGAAGGACCAGAGTACATTCACCCTTTCTAGTCTAATAGCCCATTATAATATGGACATTCTGTATAAATATGCTGATATCAAAGTATTCAGATATAAGGCTGCATTCTTCAATACAATCACTCAGAACGATAAATAAAACTAGTAACTATTTAGAGAACGTCTCTGAATGTAGTCATAATTAGAATTACCTAAAGCCAGAAGAATGTAAAATGACCCATCAAGGGAACGTAAAAGGCATACTTCACAGTTACAGTTTTGAACAGAGGTAGGCAACGTTCTGCACTCCTGATATTTTGCCATCTTTATGGTTGCAAGAGCATTAAGGGATATGTAGTCCACATAATCTGGAGTGCCAAAGGTTGCCTACCTCTGGTTTAGTAGATATACCCACAAAGAAAATATGGAGGATTTCTTGTGGAAGAAAAAAAAAAAAAAAAATACCAACAACACACAGCTTGTATATGCTGCAGACACGCGATCTACAAAAAAAAAAAAACCCTGCCCTCTTTCCCCAGCCTGGGAATACATCAGAGGCTTCTCACTGACGTCTCTGTGCTGGAGTCGCGAGCTTACACCCATTTGCAGCTTTCCAATGGTTCGCAAAGAGCTTTAGTATTTCTGAGATGTGTTACCTTTCTCCAAACGATTCCTCTTCTCTCCCTCTGTCAGGATCTGTTCTTCATTTCTTCTGGTCTGCTCTAGTTTTCTTTAAAATAATAAAACAAGTAAGGACTATTTGTCTTATGGAGGTTTCCTACGCCTGACCATCACTGACCAGCGGAGGAGTAAAATGTGCTTCATTTCTGGTGGTTGGAAAATAGGTGTCCCCCCCTTATTGTAATTTAGGGGCCCCCCCCCCCAATCGCTCAAGAGTGGGGGCTGGGGGAGTAGACATGTTTAGTAGACATGCCCCTACTCACGGCAAAGCGAGTAGGGGCCGAATTTACCAATACTAAGTAATCTTTACTTAGTATTAGTAAATTTTGGCTGAAAGACCAATTTAGGTCTTTCAGCCTTTTGGTATATAGCTCCCTAATTCCCACGCTATCAGGGAGCTATCTACTAAGCAGCTGCAAGATGCAGCCGCGGCACGACTAGGATCGGAGTTTCATTCATTCGAATTAAAATTCCGATACAAACAAAGTCCCGTATTGCGTCCTAAAACGAATGGAGAAACTGTTCTGATTCTGTTAGGACGCAATTCGGTAGTTTCTCCGACGTTCTGTCTAAATTGACAGCATGTTCGGGAAAAGTGAAAGGAGGCTTCACGGGAACAGTAAGAATTGTGGGAAAATTGCTCTGACCACCGTAAATTAAGCAAACTTTGCTCCTCTGCTCATTGCCAGTCAGGTGTAGGAAACCTCCATTAGACAAATAGGCCTTTCTAGATCAGACAGGAAGAAATGAAGAACAGATCCTGACAGAGGGAGAGAAGAGGAATCGATTGGGGAAAGGTAAGTTCTGCATGACCGTGCCGCTTCAATGTTCTGACCGGCCGCACACGTGGTCCTATGCCCAAAACCATTCCTGAGCATTTGGTGCTTTTCCCAGTCAACTTTTTGGGGCTCCAGAGGAGGAACTACAGGATGTTCCGCCTGCATCGCAAGCAGGGTTTGTTCCCCTTAGTCTCGGCACCATCCCTCCGAAAAGGGCTCTCCTGGCCATTTTCAAAGTGGTCCAAAACGCAGGACCAAATTGACCGGTAACCACATGGTTCCCAACCCGAAAATAGTTCCATAGAATCGCGGCTAAGTGCCGCTGGGGACTGATCGCGACCCGCGAAGTCTTCATGACAAAAATAGTTCCAAGGCATTTGCGGCTAAGGGAAGTCTATTCGATCGGCCGCCAGGGAGTGAGTGTTCGGTTCTATGCGCACGAATGGAAAGTGCTGAACCAGGGGAACTAAAATATGGGTCTTTACAGTCGCTGACCTGGCCCATAGTCTGTGTATAGGAGGCCGGCTTCCACACTCCTCCAGGAGTCCGTTGCAAACGTCTGTGGAAAGTGGCGTTTGTCACACAAACTTGATTAAACTTTAAGAATGAGGGTTAAGAAGAATTCTTTAGAGGAACATATGCAATTGGTGATGTAAGGAGAAGGATTACTTAAACCTAAAAATAAATGTTATTTATCAGTTAGTATGTGTGCTTTGGTCCAAAAAAGTTTGTAAGTCTTGAATACTTTGCCACTGTAGCTAGTGAGGTCTACACAGCTATGGAAGCAATGAATGGTTAAGACATACATACAGATAATGTTGGAAAAATAAATAAATGGTAGAAGGTGAGAAAATTGGCAGAATCGCTAAACTGATTAGAATGTAAACTCATCTGAGCAGGGCCCTCAGCACATTCTGTTCCTGTATGTTGAGATTGTCTCCTTGCAACTACTTGTTAGCCCACCTATTATACAGCACTGCGGAATTTGTTGAAGCTTTATAAATAAATAATAGCTTCTCTAATCCCTGCCATCATAATTTCCCCCCCCCACATATTAAATGGGTATATGACCTGCTCTGATAACAATGCTACACTTATTGCATTATTTCCAGACTTCTATCTAAACCTCCATATACACACCTTCATCAATGGATAAATACACATTTATTATTAGTTAAAAGAAGTTAGAAAACGGGTAGGCATTTAGCCAGTCATTGTATGACATCACTAAGCAATGGTGCATCTCTTCCTATCATTTATCGAAACTAGTCTTTTTTTTTTTCCCCTTTAGCTCTACATGAAAAAACAGAAATGTTGATTTATATTGAATTCACATAAGATGGCTTATAATTTCCCTGGGAGTCATTTCTTCCAATACTTCAAATACCTTAAAATGAAATACTGAATTTATTTTGGGTTTTGTCCACTAGTCATGGTACGAATAAACATTTCATCGAACAATGATCACATAGGCACTGCAAACATGAAGCAATGTGGTCCTCGTCCATTAGGAATCTTACCTTTCGTGCAAGGCCCAAAGCAATATAACATTTCTCCCCGGGATCCACAATTTCAACTTCAAAGTAGTGACTGCGTGTACTTAGAGAGCGACGAGCCTGGGCTAGGCCAACATCTATTATACTTTTACCCTTCCCAACATACTCCAGGAGCTAAACAGAAAGATCAGATACATGAATAGTGATAAAAATATGATAAATGCACGGTGAGCTACAAGTACAAGGGGTGTTATGCATATACCTAGGAGCCACTCCTAAACCCTCCCAGGTTTTGGACACCTGGTTACACCCAACAAGCCTACAGCAAGGGAGAGTCTAATGTGCAACCCATAAGGACAACACAGATTAATTTGCAGATCTAAGTCTGTGGACATTAATGACCAAATATAATGTCCATGTACATTTGTTAATAAACGCAGAAACAAAATGGGAGTTGTTAAGATGTGAACAGGTCAACGCCATGTGTGAAATAGAATTGATTAATCAGCTAACATTTAATAATTCTTGTACTTTTTAAAATAAACTATTTTATACAAGGAAAGTTTGTTCGTGGTCTTTAAACCACTGCTCACACAATGCAGAATCCTATGTACACCAGCACAGGCCAAGCATTCGGCAAGCACGTTGCTCTTTGCACATAGCAATGCACAGTGTGGTAGAATGTAGCATTCAGCGATTGCAGTATTAGTCACACCAATCAGAACAGCCTGGATTGTGTGAGTTTTACAAGGTTCTATGAATGTTCCTTGAAGATTTTGTTCCATGCTCACTCAATATAGCCGTTCCTATAGACAGCCACATATTCATGCTGCTCATGTTCAGCCAAACTCCAAAAGACTGGAATCTGGGGCTGGGGACTATGCAGGGCACTGAAGGAAACAAATATTCCTGGAATCAGCTTGAAATAACAACATGTGCTTTATGGAAGAAGGTTCTAGTCTACAAGTTTGTGGAATCATAATCTTCCTGTTTTTAGCATAAAGGAGTAGAACCCAGCATTGTTGTAGACCATTCACGGACAGGTTACATACACAATGTGCTCTGATTGTATACCTGAATATAGACTATATGTCGCCTCTTAGCTTATACAAGACTTGCCACTTTCATTAAAGGACCACTCTAGGAACCCAGACCACTTCAGCTTAATGAAGTCGTCTGGGTGCCTGGTCCAGCTAGGTTTAACCCTTTTTTCTATAAATGAAACTGCTATGTTTATAATACGGTTAATCTCATTGACAGCCGCTAGAGGTGCTTCCGCACTTCTCACTGTGATTTTTTTTCACAGTGAGAAGACGCCAGTGTCCATAGGAAAGCATTGTAAATGCTTTCCTATGCGACCGGCTGAATGTGCGCGCAGCGCTTGCCGCGCGTGTGCATTCAGCCGACGGGGTGGAACGGAGGAGGAGAGAAGGAGAAGAGCTCTCCGCCCAGCGCTGGAAAAAGGTAAGTTTAAACCCCTTTCCAGAGCCGGGCGGGAGGGGGACCCTGAGTGTGGGTGCACCCTCAGGGCACTATAGTGCCAGGAAAACGAGTATGTTTTCCTGGCACTATAGTGGTCCTTTAACAAAGCTTTAACACCAAATGAACAAACACATTTTTGTTTATCGAAAGAGACTAATTACACAATTTTTTTTTTTTTTTTTACATACGGGAAACGACACTATCCAACATCAAATCACACCATGGGCAGGTACTTAAGTCAATCTCCTTGAGCATTGTAAAGTTTAGCCATTATTTTGCTGTAACTTTATATATTGTGTTGCAGACACATAATTTACTGTCAAGCTGTTAGAAAAGGCATAACTAATAAAAAGGCCACTGAATGTATACAATATAAAAAGGACACGCTGGGCACTAAAACAACTTTAGCTTAATGAAGCAGATCATGCCTCTGCAATCCCACAGTGCCTGCTAGGTTAGAATGAGACGGGTCGTAAGGGTTTTAGACAAGAGATCTACAGTTTGCAAGCAGTTTAAAAAATATACCCCCAATAAAAATTGCATAACTAAATGCATGTTTTCATTGTACGTATGTATGCATTTGACAATGATTTTGTTTTATTTGGGCAGTGGAGTGTCACTTTAAATAACCTTTGTTTCTGTTTATAAAGCCCTACCCACACTTCAACTGGTTTAGACTCACATAATCAATGTGTGTGTGGGGGGGAAGGGGAAATTGTGCCATTTTAAAGCAGATCAGCATAGTGTGTTTAATCTAGAATGTCTTATCTAAAAATCGACACACTGTGCAATAACGGGACACTAATAAAACCAAACTGTAGACACTTATTATGATTATTGGCATTTATACAGCGGCATCTTATTCCGCAGCGCTTTACATTTTGTTAGGAAGTGCGAAGGGAGTTTGTGTGAGTCTTAGTCAGGTGTGGATAGAGCTACATAAATAAACGGATATTACTTCTAAATGTCAGAATAGAGCAAAGAAATGCAGGAGAATGATCTATACACCGAAACCAATTCAATAAACAGACGGTGTACCAGAATTTTCATCTCAATAGAGTTGTTACAGAGCCAGTAAGTCCCGTGCATCATCTTACCTTAATTATTTATGAATGTTTCATTGCCAAGGTTGTAAAGATGGCACCTGTTTGCTTATCCTCCTGGCTTTCACTAATGGTCCGAGGATTCAATGAGGAAGTCTCAGACGAGGTGCCCCGATAGACAGAGCCTTAGCTGTATATAACTTTCTCACCGTTTTGTGAATGAGGAGCTAGTGATGGGGTAAGAGACTGATGCTCTCAGCTATGCCTAGTCAGAGGCTTCCTCACTAAATGCCATCTTCAACCTATTGTTCCGGTACTTTTTCTTGTAACTGTCCTATTTATAGTTAAACTCTCCCCCCCCCTCTAATAATATTGTAAAGCGTTACAGAATCTGCTGGCTCTATATAAATGGCGATAATAATAATGAGGATAAGCAAACAAGCATTGTCTTCACAACTTTGGGAGTAAAACGGTTTATAAATGATTTAATACCTTAATATAAGATAGGACCTCCAGGCACTATATAACATGTTCATTGAGATCAAACTGGTATGGTGCCCAGTGTTTGTTTTGGTTTTTTTTTACGCTAAAGTTGTTTTGGTGCATAGAGTGTCTCGTTAGCTAGCATAACATACCTGTAAAGGACCATTGGTTTAAAAAAAAATAAAAAAAATAAAAAAATTTTAAGCATATAACCACTTTACATATGGCCTCCATCACCTTACCGTGCCACAAACTCTGACATCATGTAGCCTTCCCCATTCATCCTCATAGCTGTCCACCATCATTATACTGTCATCGTCCTCACTACCAAGTTCAGCATTTAAATGAAGGCGCACTTCTTCCCCAAGTGAGTGCATTCCAACTGCTGGGAAAAGACCATCAGGAGACAATGGCATCACAGTGCTACCAACCTGCAATGAGAGACAAAGGTACACATTGCAATGTGGAAGCACTACATTGAAACTGGTGTGTGACTGAGTGATGGTCACTTATGGGAAAGGGTAAATTGGAAAGGGTAAGATTAGCCAGTATGTTTTAAAAAGTGTTTTGTACCCGCTTTCCATTTTTGGTGAAAAAAATCTGAGCAGTCTGTACATGAAATGAACTGGGTTCAATGCCACAACCAATACGGTCTCCTGAGTTACACTTTGTTCCAAACTGTCGTCCCTTTGCTCGTCCATTGTACAGCCTGAAAGAGAAACCATTCCGGTCATACATCCTGCCTTTAATGATTGACAGAATGGATATCGATATTGCAGAAGTTTAAATGCTAAATGTTCAAGGCAGCTGGAGTGAAGACGATGTATGGATGCTGTGCAGTGCCTAACTTTGTCAAACCACTTCCAAAGAAAGAGAAACAGAAAGCTTGGGGTATGGTACCCCTTTAAACAGCGGCTAATATTTTTCATTAATAAAATCGTATTTTGTGTCTGCTCTCCTCATTTACTTTGTTCCCTGCTCACCTAGAAAATGAACTTTAAAAAAAAACAACCCACAAATATATAGATATATATTTTATATATGTAGAAATTGTCTCTAAAAAAATTTTCTTCTTTTCTAAAAGTGTTTACGTTATTAGCACTATTCTACTTCCCAATCGAATAGATATCTGAGCAGGATAATTTCTCCTTAAAATTAAAGAGGGGTTAAAATAAACAATTCTCTTTAGCGCTGTATAAATAATAATAATAATAATAATAATAATAATAATAAACTATATTATGGCAGAGGATATGGAGCAGATTTAGACATCAATTCATTCCCCAAGAGAAGGTCGAATGGGACAAAAATAAATAAATAATTAAAACGCTCATATAGTCAGCCGACTTGATCCCAGCAGTAAAGAAAAGGTACAAAAATAACACCAATAAAATAGGAAATCAGATTGCACATTAAACACTCTCATAAAACGAGTGAAAAAAAAAAAAAAAGAACTTTCTCTTGAAGTTACTTGCAGTCAGCAAACCCATAAATATGTGAGGCTTTTTAAGATAACTGATCATAAATCTAAAGAAAATGCTGCCTATATACTGCACTGTCAACAGCCAATCAGAAGCTTTTACTCAGACACACCCCATTCCAGAGTCCCTTCCATAACCCAGAGTACAGAGAGTGTGCATTCCTGTCCTCCCCCAACCAGGGATTTTAAAAGCCACGAGCATCTCCTGAAATATTCCCACAATCCATATGCTATCTACATATGCGACCCTAATAAAAATTGTTAAGTGGAAAAAATAAATAAATATATCTGCAGAACATCCAAACACAATCATGCACTCCTAACAAACTAACAATTGCCAGCATATTTTGTGCAGGTGTTGGGTTGGATTTTTGTACAACGCATTTTTATATTGGATTGTGTTTTGAACGCCATTTATTTGGTTGTTGATGATCAAAGCCAAGATCTTCAACCACGGAATATAGTAATAGACTGTGGGTATTTGAAGACGCAGGAAAGACATTTTGGAAATCCTCGGTATCCTTTAATTTAAGATATCCCACTTGAAGTGGAAAAAAGACAGATGAGTCCTCCCCAACTCACTTTTAGTTAATAGGGTTGCATGAATCACTGCATGTATTTATTTTACTGCAGGGGTATTTCACGTAGAATAAGGATGTGTCAGTGTTAAGTGTGCAATTTTCTATTGGCAATATATTTCAGTTTGTAGAACATTCTAAACTAAATTTATCAAGCTGAATTCATATGTACAATATGACGCCAATATAAAAAGATGAAAGTTACATTTACTATAGATTGGATAGGTAAATATCAATGTCAATAATATAGATCTAATAAAGCTGATCGAAATCCAATTTCTGATGACAGAGTCACCTTAGACTGGAAAGGGAAAAATGCTCCATAAGCAGGGATTCAAGTTGTGGATTATTTTAATACCGGACTAATCATGCAGTGTGAACACACTAATTATACGGACACTACACACGACCTTGATTATGCTTTGTCTCATCTGTTTGCATTCACATAGTACTCTTGAGCAGAGAATTGTTACACAGACAGACCAAAACAACTGAGATGCAACGCTACAGTCTGATACTTACTTGCCGTCATCCGCATGGTAAGCGACGGAGTCGGGCAGCCATCCAGGTTGATGATCCAGACTGTAATACTGAGGCACTAAGCCCACAGCAATTGTTCCACGAACACCACGGTCCACAATAGACACCTGTAACAATAGTGAAAGATTAAAAAAAATGTTTTTTTTTTTTTTTTAATTTACACACCTCTCCAACAAAAGCCTACAGAATTAAATCTATTAACAATTGCAGGTATCACCTGATTATATAACTTCAAAATACTTCAGCAAACACAGAACAATGTATATCACAACGGATCCATTCTGAAACATCACTAAAGTTTAATAATAATGCTTTAAACACTTCTAGTCAGAACAATGGTGAAATTTAAAGGGTAACTCCAACCACTATGACCACTTCTGCTTTTAGAAGACGTAATGGTGGAAGAAGTCTGAATGTGCAGTGTTTCAGCTTGAAAGGCTTAACATCTACAGTTATTTGAAGTTGTGTGCCGGGAGCTAGTTGCAATGTGAACTGTGTTCCAGGTTGCCGAATGTAAAATCTATGCAGGCTGGTAACATATGTTCTACGCGTCTCCCTTTCCAGGCAGAGCAGGCAAAGGGCGGCTTGTGTCTACCCTCCCTCCCTACTATTCCACCTGCTAATTTTTTTTTCTCCCGCCCTAAATGGTCAAATCACTTTGCCTGGGTCTCCTCTGGATTGAGGGAAGTTAATCATATATATATATATATATATATATATATATATATATATATATATATATATATATATATATATATATATAAATTATTTTTTTTCCAAGCTGTGTTTGGAGTGGGAGCCTAAAGAATAATGCTCAATAGGGCATTATTCAGTGAAGGAAAAAAAATAATGGGTTGGAATAATCCTTCAAGCAACTGAATCAATAGCCATTCTGTATTTTCTTCTACTGAACCAATAGCAATACTGTATTTTCATCTGTTAAACTTTGAGTAAAAAGAATATCAGTTAGCAGTGTAACATGGTGAATTTACTAGTTGACCTATTATCTGTGAATATTTTAATAACTATGAACTCTCTAGATAAGCGTATTATTCCTATTAGTACTTTATTTACTTATACTTATGATATTTTTTGTGATATGTATGACTTTTCCAAAGGCTATTGACGTTTAGCAATCTTTTCAAGATTGTAAACCTGCCAATATCCGTATCACCAGGTTTGTCTCAAGTGGTGCACATTGGAATTAGATAAATGAAGGTTACATGCACAAGAATCTCCCAATCGTATTAACCATGAAACCGATCTTCCAGAGGTCTATGTCTTCCCATACTTACACATGCATTACAATACATTTATTAGAGAAGTAATATTAATCAAATTGCCAAGAAATCAGGGTGAAGGTGGTGGGAAAAAAACAAAACAAGCTCAAGAGAAAAGTTCCCTTTATTAGAAAATTCATGATAAAATAATTACTAAGATTAGTAGACGTTGTGCCATAGAAAGGCTCACCTCAAAGTAGTTATTGTCTTTGCTTAGTGGTCGCGGAGCAACGTAGCAACCAACTTCTCCGGAATTCCCGTGGTAGCTGAGGAGAGTGTAAAATAGAAACAGATTATTTAAAAAATGAGCGTATTTCACATTATGCAAGTGATGTGTACCTACCTACATCTTTAACATCATGTTAACACAGATTTTTGTATATTGTGTGGGTCAAGTTAGGAGAACTGCAAATATTTTTCCAACTCATGCATCTATTAGAATTATTTTATTATTTATATAGCACCAGCAAATTCCGTACTACTGTACAATGGGTGGACTAACAGACACGTAATTGTAACCAGACAAATGGACGCACAGGAACAGAGGGGTTGAGGACCCTGCTCAATGAGCTTACATGCTAGAGGGAGTGGGGTATCTACACTGCATAACAGGCATCTCTAATAATGCTATAAAATATATATATATATTTATATTTATATTTTTTTTCCCCCACATTTACCAGTTTCAAAGCGTGGTTCAGATAAATTAATAAATGCTATGGGTTTCCCTTTTCCTGCCACTAGGACTTTCAAATTAATTTTTACATGTATGTAATCATACTAATGCTCATCACAGCTGCAGTTAATAATATTTATTTTTAATATCATATCATATCATAACTAAAACACATCATTGTTATATTGAGGGAGAAGAACTCACAAACAAAACAAAGACTCCAGGAGCCGTTAAAATGACATTTGTATAGGTGCCATTTGGCAGCATCTGAAATGGTTAGCTGGGGAGCTAAAGCATAATCTAAGAATTTTGAAATACTGGGAATTATTAAAAAAGTGACAATGAGAAAACCGGCTCTAAAGTGTTAGCAAGTGGTCACGCTTACATGTAACAAACTCACAAGAGATCAGCAATTAACCCAAGAGCAACTCAATCCATGCCTATTACTTAGAAGCCTGTTTGACAAGCTGAGATGACATATCACTTCGAAAGCAGTATGGATTTTCTCTCAGATGCAAAATTTTATAAATAAATAATAAAAATAAAAAATTCTCATGAAAAAACCCACATACCATTACAGTAATTGTTTTTCTTTGTGTTTTAAAAGAGGTATTGAGTTGCCTTGAAATAGAACAGGATACCAAATACAAATGCTCCTGCCCTTACATAGCACCCAATAAACAGAATAGTAAGACTGTACGCAATTCTTTAATTGGTGTAGACCGAAATTAAAATTAGGTAAAGACTAGGAATAAAAAAACCTTCTTGTCATAGGAGGGAAATGAACACACATTGTGTGATTTTTACATACAGTTCAAAATGCAACCTAATGTGGATAGAAACAGAACGAGTTTACAGGTTTGTATACCCCACAAGGCGTGCAAACTATTATTTTTATAATAATGACATTTAATTGCATGCTGCCTGTGTTATGAAACCTTAGTACACACCACTTCATTATCTTTTGTAGCTGCGCCCATTGGTTTATCTGGATGTTACCATAGTTCAAACAATTAAAAAACTGCTCATTTGACAAACAGCTTGCTCTAAAAAGATGTCTAGGTGTGCCTTCTTCATAAAATATAGTAAACTGCAGTGCTCAAAATTTCAGCTTGCCACTAGCCATTGGCGAGTAAAAATGTAGCCATGCCAAGTAGAAATTCACCCCTAGTGAGTCTGTAATCGAATGAGAGCAACATTTAGGGACTTTAAAAGTTAAGCCCTGGTAATAAGCAAGGATAAATTACTTCTTCCAAATACAAAATATGATTGACTAATTTTATTTTATTATCCGCCCCGCTTGTATTGGCTAAAACTTTAGCTTGTTAAATACAAACAACTTTATTAAGCACAAAAAGAAAAGGGAAACTATAGTCACCAAAACAACTTTAGCATAATGAAACAGTTTTGGTGTATAGATAAAACCCCTGCAGTCTCACTGCCCAATGCTTGGTTATTTAAGAGTTAAAGGACCACAATAGGCACCCAGACCACTTTGGCTCAATGAAGTGGTCTGAGTGCCAGGTCCCTCTAGGGTTAACCCTGCAGCTGTAAACATAGCAGTTTCAGAGAAACTGCTATGTTTACATTAGGGTTTATCCAGCCTCTAGTGGCTTCAGCCAGGTGGGAGGGGGACCCTGAGGGTGGGAGGGACCCGAAGACAATATAGTGCCAGGAAAAGGAGTTTGTTTTCCTGGCACTATAGTGGTCCTTTAAGTCACTTTGTTTACATACTTACACAGGGGGTATCTCCAACAGTACTGTACAAGAAAAAAAATAAAGAAAAAAAAAAACAAAAAAAAAAACACACACACACACCACAAAACCAAGAAAAATATGTTTATACATAGCTAGGAAAGAGGAGAAAAAAAAAAAGAAAAGGAAAAAAAAAAAAGGAAAAAAAAAAAAAAAAAAAAGAAGAGAGAAAGATATTCCACACTCAGCAACATTTAAAACCAAATCAGAAGAAAATATAACCCAGAAAACTCAGATTATGATCATGGAAGAATAGATTGCACGAACACATAGCCACATAAAGTATACATTTTATATATAATAAAAAAAACAAAAAAAAACACGCTGTGTTATTACCCCCCTTGACTGTAGGGAAATGAATTTAACAAAGAATGCAGTTGCTACAAAGATTTCTAAGAAATCTACCAAGTTCAATATTGTTCCAGTTTGTTACAGAACTTTAGGTCAAGTGCTAGGAAAATTAATTGTGATTCCTAATCAAGATAGGCCACAGCTTCGACACAAAAAAAAAAAAAAAAAAAATCTTATGTTTGAATAATTCAGTGGCAATAAAAAGAAAAACACATAAGCTATCCACAATGCTTTTTCAGAAGCTCCATTTTGATTTATTTGCCTAACCTACTTTATTGCTCATGATGACTAACTCCTGGTTTACTTTGAGACTGTAAAATACAAATACAGTCATCACAACATTGAAACATAATTGTTTGAAAAATTAGTCACATACGTACTTGGTAAAGGTCAGCACATGGTTTACCTATGAATTTTCTACATATTTTACAATGTTACTCATTATTAAATAAAGATTCAGTAAATAACAAGGAAATATGGAAAACAAACACAGCCAACAACAAAATATTTCATAGAAGTGTTGCTTGCCAATAGTTTATTAATGAAGAAAGATATGAAGTGAAGCCTTTCTAAATTAGGATATTTGGAAGGCCAATCCAATCTCCACATAAGAATAACAAATTAAACTGTGGTACTTTACTACTTACTCCCTTGAACCTTTTTTTTTTAGCAGCAGATAACCAACAAAAATGTAATACAATTTAGATGACAGCAGTGTTAACGGAACATGGCTTCTCCCCACCTTAGAGTATCCCCGTCTACGACAATGTGTTTGGCTCTCTCCTGATATCGTACTGCTCGCACCTCACGGATCTCACGAATACGTCTTCTCCAATTTAAAAATCGGTAATGAAGATTCAAGTCATCCATGTTCAACTCTTCCATGACTTAATCTACATATGGGAAAAAAAAGTCACATCTTACTCCACCTTAACTATGTTTCGTATTCCACGTATCCAGATAAGGGGAAAACACATACACACCATCTAGGACATGCTTCCACACAATTACACCATACAGGGTTATTTAATACTGTGGGAATGGTCAGTTATTCAAACAAGAACACAGTAATAAACCTTGCGCTTCAATAACCAGTGCTGATATTCTGTACATTTAAAGTTTTGAAAAAGCTACACAATTTCTACATAAATCTGGCATTAACTGAACATGCTGGCAGCAAACACACCCATATCACTATCATGCAGCCTGTGCTGGGATCATGGAGATCCTAGCATGTCCAGTACGGTTACTGATAGGAGTGTGCTCACCGCGATCAGACTCCTATCACTTTCAGCCCAGTTTTTAACGGTAGATTATTCACTGCCAGATCTCGCTGCTTTCAGCTAAGCTGCACAAGACATGAGGTCACAAAGTGGCGCCTCACTGACTGGCGGCTGGAGTTTTTCCGGATGCTGAAGACTACGTGTGGTGATTGGAAGAGGTGAGTTATCTTAATACTGGTAAATTACAAGACTGATATGGATTATCATAAAATGCAGAATATCAGCCATAATAAATGTCAAAATCATCTGAAAGTCGGTCTATTCATATATATATATATATATACACACACACACACACACACATACATAGAGTATTTATAACCGATGAAATTAATAGCTTGCAACTTTTTATTGGACTAACAGAATTTTGGAACAACAAGCTTCTCAAACGTAAAGCGTATATTTTCTTTTTGTTGTTTAGATTTCAAGTCCCTTCTTTTTAAAAAAAAAAAAAAAAAAATGAAAACTCATCTGTAATCCCATGCCAGGACAGAATCTGACAAACAGCCAGACAGATGATCCAATACAATGTTTCTTATAGAGAAATTGGGTGCAAATAGAGCATGCAAGTAATTTTCTGTATTCAACCAACTGAATGCTTCCCTTTCAGTAACTCTAAATACGATGATGATGTCAAATGTAAAGATCTTAAATAGGAAGAGCCTCTAGAGCAGGGGTAGGTATCCTTCAGCACTTTAAATGTTGTGAGTTATGCATATTATGGGAGATATAGTCCACAACATCTGGAGTGCTAAATGTTGCCTACTGCTAATCTAGTGGCTGTATATATAAAATATAAACACAACAGTTTTTCTGAAACGACAAAGTGTTAAATTGCCAGATCGCAGCGACATTAAGATAAAATGGTGTTTCGAGTATAACCTTCCAGCTTAAAGGCAAAACTCCCCAAAACAATTGCACAAACGGATGAACCCAAAATAGGGCATATATGAGGATTGCAGATGCTCTGTAACAAGGTAGTGCCATCTAAAAGCAAATGAATGAAACACATTCTTGTTTCTCTTGTATTCAAAATAAATTCACAAAGTCAACTGTTTCCAATTCTGTTATTTTGGCTTTTAGGACCTGACATTAGGGAACTCTCTTTCTATTATATGAATCATATATAAAAAGTATTATATATATATATATATATATATATATATATATATACACATATACACATACATCCATCCATCTCTATATTATTTATATAGCGCCATCACATTCCGTAGCGCTGTACATTGGGAAATTATATTAGAATATATATATATCAGTGCTTTGCCTTTAAAAATTAGCACATCTATTTAAAATAAAAATGATCAGTGAACTAGTTTTCATAAAGAATGAGCCTGCGGATCTGGGTATTTAACTAGTTCTCTCTACATAAAGAATCTGCTTAATTAACTAGTGCCCTCTACAAAGAGAGACTGGGTATTTAATTAGTGCCCGCCATATAGAGAATCTGGGTACTGGTGCCTGCCATATACAGAATCTGGGTACTGGTGCCCGCCATATACAGAATCTGGGTTTTTAACTAGTGCCCTCCATATAGAGAATCTGGGTATTTAATTAGTGCCCTCAAAATAGGGAATCGGGGAATTTAATTAGTGCCCTCAATATAGGGAATTGGGGTATTTAATTAGTTCACTCCAAATAGGGAATCGGGGTATTTAATTAGTGCCTTCTATATAGGGAATCGGGGTATTTAATTAGTGCCCTCTCTATAGGAAATCAGGGTATTTAGTTGGTGCCCTCTCTATATGGAATCGGGGTATTTAGTTGGTGCCCTCTCTATAGGGAACCGGGGTATTTAGTTGGTGCCCTCTATATAGGGGAATCAGGGTATTTAATTAGTGCCCTCTATATAGGGGAATCAGGGTATTTAATTAGTGCCCTCTATATAGGGGAATCGGGGTATTTAATTAGTGCCCTCTATATAGGGGAATCAGGGTATTTAATTAGTGCCCCTCTAGTGCCCTCTATATAGGGGAATCGGGGTATTTAATTAGTGCCCTCTATATAGGGGAATCAGGGTATTTAATTAGTGCCCTCTATATAGGGGAATCGGGGTATTTAATTAGTGCCCTCTATATAGGGGAATCAGGGTATTTAATTAGTGCCCTCTATATAAGGGAATCAGGGTATTTAATTAGTGCCCTCTATATAGGGGAATCGGGGTATTTAATTAGTGCCCTCTATATAGGGGAATCAGGGTATTTAATTAGTGCCCTCTATATAAGGGAATCGGGGTATTTAATTAGTGCCCTCTATATAGGGGAATCGGGGTATTTAATTAGTGCCCTCTATATAGGGGAATCAGGGTATTTAATTAGTGCCCTCTATATAAGGGAATCGGGGTATTTAATTAGTGCCCTCTATATAGGGAATCGGGGTATTTAATAAGTGCCCTCTCTATAGGGAATCGGGGTATTTAGTTGGTGCCCTCTATATAGGGAATCGGGGTATTTAGTTGGTGCCCTCTCTATAGGGAATTGGGGTATTTAGTTGGTGCTCTCTATAGGGAATCGGGGTATTTAGTTGGTGCCTTCTCTATATAGGGGAATCGGGGTATTTAGTTGGTGCCCTCTCTATAGGGAATCTGGGTATTTAGTTGGTGCCCTCTCTATAGGGAATCGGGGTATTTAGTTGGTGCCCTCTATATATAGGGAATCGGGGTATTTAGTTGGTGCCCTCTATATAGGGGAATCGGGGTATTTAGTTGGTGCCCTCTATATATAGGGAATCGGGGTATTTAGTTGGTGCCCTCTATATAGGGAATCGGGGTATTTAGTTGGTGCCCTCTCTATAGGGAATCGGGGTATTTAGTTGGTGCCCTCTCTATAGGGAATCGGGGTATTTAGTTGGTGCCCTCTATATAGGGAATCGGGGTATTTAGTTGGTGCCCTCTCTATAGGGAATCGGGGTATTTAGTTGGTGCCCTCTATATAGGGAATCGGGGTATTTAGTTGGTGCCCTCTATATAGAGGGAATCTGGGCTCCCTACATTAGGCTCTCCGATCATTACTGAACAGGTGGTTGGACCATAGAGATGCCCTGCTATGCCTCTTACCGAGAGGGTGTCAGGCTCCAGGCTATATTTCCCAACCTGTTCATGTTTCATCATAAGACTTCACACCATATGCCCGAGTTCCAGCCCTCTTACCTTCCGCCATGGACAACATCAGCCACTTCCTCCTCCTTCCTCTCCGCAACACAGCCAATCGCAGCCCGGCTTTCAGAAGGATTGGTGCATAGCAGCCAATCAGAGCCCTCTGTTCTGAAAGGACAGTAGACGCCGCACAGCATAAGGACAACATAAGTTGGGAAGGCTGTCGTGATGCGGTTCACAGTACAGTTACTCACAGGGTTCTATACACTAGAGAGCGCGTACAACTGAAAGCAGTATGTGGAGTCACTTTGGATCGCATATTAAGAGGTGCGACACCATTTTGTCGGAGACAGTACATTCATTGAGATTTAGGCAGGTGGCTATACCAAAATGGCAACTGCAGTGAAGCTAAGCATGGAAGCCTGTGTTATGACTCTAGAGATTATAATAGTTGGTGTGACTCGTTCTCTGATGATGTTGCGGAAAATTATGATGTTGGCAATAGTCTTGAGCGTTAAAGTATAAAAAATATTTTAATTAATTAAAATTATGCAATTGCTATTTAATTGTATCCAGAGTCTCTTTTCTTACCATTAGAAAGTATATAGTAATTAGGTACTCTAACATGTAAAGGGGCATACTCTCTCAAGCACCATAACCACTGCTGCTCATTTTAATGGTTATGGTGCAAAGAGTCTTTATGGCACAAACACCCCTTCCCCCGATTATGGACGCCAATGGTATGGTGAGAGTGCTGGCGCAAGTTTGGCCATCACCGGGGAAAGTATTTTGAAGTGGTCATGGTGCCTGGAGTCTGTATATGCAGCTTGCCACTGTGAAATGCACATGCAGAATTTAGCTCCTTGGCTGACAGGTGTAACTCCACCTCTGGCAGTATCATGGGGTGACCTCAGTCAGCCCATAACTAGAGTTTCAAGCCAATGTCAATTCTGTGCAACATTTTTTTGCACGGTGTGCATTTCATTGGCTGAGCTTGCAGAAGGTCTTGATGGTAAGGTATGTGTTTTTGCTGATGATACAAAGATTTGCAACAGGGTTGATGTTCCAGAAGGGATAAGCCAAATGGCAAATGATTTAGGTAAACTAGAAAAATGGTCAGAGCTGTGGCAACTGATATTGTATGTGGATACATAACACTTGATGCTTTGCCAGCATTAAGGCTCTAAGAGCGTTATGGTCTCACTAGATCTCCCATAGATACACACTCCATCACCTACACACACAACATTCCTGACACAAAAATGATATTCCCTCCCTATACACTTACTACATGCTCCATACACACAAACACACTACAGCCCCTATCTACACATCACAAACACAACATAACTGAAACCAACCTCTTTACACAAAAAACACTGTGTGTAGCTCACTCATACGCATACGCAATACCACAAGCAGCCATCAAACGCATACACAATACTCTCTCCTGCCCTTTTGTCCTCTAATATTGATACCGGAGAAACTGACGGAAGCAAAGCACAGAGAGATGGACACAGGTTTCTTCAGGAAGGAAGAGATTCTTTATTGGATCACCGATCGGGACTCAGAGGGACTAATGTCACCAAAAATACAGCAAGTTCTGAGCCCTGAACAATAGTGCAGGCTCCTATATAGGCACATAACTCCTCCCATATTAAGCTCCACCCGCACATTCTCTTGACCAATCATTACAAATAAGAATTAACTTCCTGCTTGACCGCATGGCTTGTCCAGCACAATGGAGGAGGGGAATACTACATCCTGTATTCTTGCACATGCTCCGTACACTACTGATCGTATCTTGCCTCGTGCAACCAACTGATCGATACGTCAGCATATGCACGTACACATGCCACGTGGTAATCTCGGCCTACTAAATTTATTTTTACCGAGATTCCACCACAATATCTCATTTATGGAGACACCAGAGACAAGTATCAAAGCAAACACTGTGCTGTGTATTACAAAAGGCCCTTTTCCCGTGTAAGAACTGTTTAGCAGGGCTCTGCACATGGGCTGCTCTGGAAGAGCGCTGAATTAACATACTTACTTTGGGGGGGACATGGTTTTAATTGGTAATTGTTACTGGAACTCTGCATAGAAAATGCCTGGGCCAAAATCAGTGGCGGCTCTAGACTTTGAGAGGCCTTAGGCGAAACTCAAACATGAGGTCCCCACTAACACCCAAAGTAAAAAATAAATAAATAGGAGTTGCATTGTGTGTATAAGGACAAGTTTGTAGCGCTGGATACAGAGAGCTAGTCTCTGTATTTATTGTTCAGACGCTTGCAGTGTCGCGGCTCCCTGTGCCGCTGCGTTGTGATGTCTCTGACTGTAGTTATGGCATAATTTGCAAACTAAATTCATTTGCAATAAACACATTTAATTAGCAAATGGTTTATACACGACTGCGGGGTGTGGTTTCATAGCCTTGCATTTGTGTACGCCAGTGTGTGTATTTCTGAGTTTATCTGGCATTGTCTACCTGTGTGTGACAGGGTTTGGGGTGAGTGTGGCACAGTAGGAGGACAGGAATGTATGGGTTTATGTGTTAGGAGAGTGGGAAAGACTGGTAGAGGATGGGTTAATTTGATAGAGTAAGTGTGGCAAAGCAAGGGCAGGTGAGTTTGGTGTGGTTGGAGTGGGGGAGAGGGACAGGATTAGGAGGGGTTAATGTGGGTTTTGCTGTGTGAAGGGGGTGACAGTGTGTGGGGACTGAAAGTGTTTGGGAATGGTGATAGTGTATGTGTAGGGGGTGACAGAGTGTGTGAAGGAGTGTCAGTGTGTGTGGTAATGATAGGGTATGAGTGGGAGATGACAAGGTTTGTGGAGGAAGGTTGTGACAGCGTGTGTGTGGGGGGGCTGTGATAGGGTGGGTGTGGAGTGACAGGGTGTGCTGGGGCTGTGACAGGGTAGGGGGCTCTGATAGGGTGGGGGAGCTGTGACATAATAGGGGGAGCTGTGACAGTGTAGGAGGTGGTAGGGGGGCTATGGCAGGGCAGGGGGTGATAGCCGGGCTGTGACAGGGCAGGGGTTGGAGGTTGGTAGGGGACCTATGACAGGGCAGGGGGTGGTGGGGGAGCAGGGGTGGTGTGGTGGTAGGGGTGCTATGACAGGGAAGGAGGTGGTGGTGGTGGGGCTGTGACAGGGCAGAGGATGGTAGGGGGGCTGTGACAGGGCAGGGGGTTGTATGGGGCTGTGATGTGGTGGGGGAGCTGTGGCAGGGTAGGAGGAGGTTGGGGGCTGGACAGGGCAGGGGGTGGTGGGGGCTGTGACATGGCAGGGGGTGGTAGGTAGGCTGTGATAGGGTAGGTGGTGGTAGTTAGGCTGTGATAGGGCAGAGGGTGGTGGGGGGGCTGTAACAGGGTAGGAGGTGGTGGGGGGCTGCGACAGGTCAGGGGGTGGTGGGGGAGCTGTGACAGGGCAGGGGGAGCTCTGAAGGGGCAGTCTGTAGGGGAGCTGTGGCAGGGCAGAGGGTGGTAGGAGGGCTGTGACAGGGCAGGGTATGGTAGGGGGGATGTGACAGGTCAAAGGGTGGTGGAGGAGCTGTGACAGGGCAGGGGGTGGTACAGGGCTGCCCTAAGGTGATTTAGGCGGCCGTGAGGCCCCAGACCTTTACAAGGCTTTAGGCAGCCACCTAAATCGCCTGATTAAAAATAGTTCTCAGTCTGGCCCTGAAGACCAGGGGTAGTTAACCTTTTGATACCTACCACCCACTTTTGTATTTTTGTTGATGGTAAAATTTCCAGTGCCGCAGTAACTAATTTTCTAGCGCAAGTGTATTTTTTTTTGTTTTGTTTTTTTAGAAAGGAGGGTTTTTTCAAAAATATGTACTTAAATTTTTCCCTCTTTTTTTCTATTCTATTTTTTTTTCTATGTGTGTCTGTGAAGTGCTGCGTGAAGGGTGCTCTGTGTGTGTGTGAAGGGTGTAGTGTGTGTGTGTGTGTGAGTTGGGGCAGCGCGTGTTTGTGAGGGGGGCAGTTCTTTGAGAGGGATAGGTGTGTGTGTGTGTGTGTCCGGGGTGTAGTGTGTGTGAGGGGTGTAGTGTTTGTGTGTGAAGGGTGCATAGGGTCTATGCTGTGTGTAGAAGGGTGAGATGTGAAAATCTAACTTAATGTCTTCCCCTCCTCCCAGTGCGTGTGAGGGGTCTAGTGTGTGAGTGGAGAGTGTGTGTGAAGGGGCAGTCTGTGTGTGTGAGGAGGCAGTGTGTGTTTGTGTGTGAAGGGTGCATAGGGTCTATGATGTGTGTAGGTGAGTGAGATATGAAAATCTATGTTAATGTCTCCCCCTCCCTTCTTCTTACTTTTTACCAGGGAGGGGGGACATTACGCTGGTGGCATGTTCACTTTAGCCTGCAGTTCCTCTGGCTGCAGGCTCACTCTCCTGTCCTCCTGTAAGCACCGTACTGTATCGGAGCGTTGCCATCGCGGAAAGAACACAGAGCCTCCCAGGCCCTTCTCTCCCTCTGCTGAAACTAAGTGCCAGCGTAGCTGGCTCTGCATGGGCAGGCAGGGGAGATGAAAGGGTCTCTCCTGCCGGCTTTGGTCCAAGGCCATCGAGGCCCACTAGCCGTTTTCTGCAGAACCCAGCACTGCCTACCTGAAATCCCAAACCGTAGGGACCAGGTTGTCTAGCCCTGCTATATATCGTTACGTGTCTTGCCCAAGGACACTTATGAGAAATTTTAAGTGACTTACTATTAACAATTTGTGGACCTAAAACATAAAGAACAAGAACATTTTATTTACATATACTTCTTTCTGAACACATTTTTTGTATTTTAAAGACACATTACTGCAGGGCTTGACAAATCCCAGGTGTTTGTCGCCCATTCAGTAGCTATGGAAGAATGAAAGTGGCCGGCTGGCTGTTTGAGAATGGAAGCAGAGACAGTGAGGGACGGCTGATCTCTGTGCTCTTGTAGCTCTGCACCCTTGCGCACCCTGCTTTAATGCAGAGAGCTGGGTTATAACGTCACTGCGGCCAAGGCATCAGTAAATGGCATGCAAGGAAGCAGAGTAAGAAGAGCTTGTAGATTACAGCAGCCCCACTGTACTTAAATAAAAATAAACAAACAACACTCTTTGAGTGCATGGGAAAATGTGTGTGTGGCTGTCAGTGTTTGACTGTGTGTGTATGTGTGTGTCAGTGTGTGACAAATCAGTGAGTGCGTCTGTTTAGGTGACCAGCCTTTCTCCAATCGCATGGTAATTGTGTTTTTA